GTTTTTGGAGGGAGGGGGGCGCTGTGGGGTCGCGGGTGGGCCCCCACTGAGGGGGCGGGGGGGTTGCCCTCCCCCCCCCCCCCCCCCCCCCCCCGGGTGTCGGTCTTTGCAGGACAACTCCCGCCGTGCTGTTCTGGCAGTGGATCAATCAGTCCTTCAACGCCATAGTGAACTACACCAACAGGAGCGGCGACGCTCCAATCACAGTCAAGTAGGAGACGATGCTGGCGCTCTGACTCTGACACTAATAACCCTGTGATGCAGCACTTCCTGGGTCGGGTCTAACGTGACTCTCTTGTTTGCAGTCAGCTTGGCACAGCTTATGTTTCTGCCACTACGGGGGCTGTTGCCACCGCTCTAGGACTAAACGCACTAACAAAGGTATCAGTCCATCTAACCCCATCTCATTTTAATGTATTCACCTTGCATGTGCGAGTGTGCTGACATGCAAGAGTTGTGTTATTTGCCAGGCATCATATTGTCCTGCCAGATTTATGTTGACGCTTGAAACCTGAGCTCCCGCTACGAGGCTTCTGCTGATCCAAAAGTTCCATCTTGGGTTTTTTTTAATTCTACAGCGGAGCATACTGAATATTTTCCTCCCTCCTGTTGTAGCACGTCTCCCCTCTGATTGGGCGGTTCGTTCCATTTGCTGCTGTAGCTGCGGCTAACTGTATCAACATCCCGCTGATGAGACAACGGTAACAACACGCCGAACACACACTCATACATTAGGTCTTTGGGCGTAAAGCGAGCCTTGAAGTAATGCATGTCACCCACTGCAGATGTGACTTTGTACATTATGTTAATGCACAGTCTCATAGTTCTGGGTGTGTTCGTATTAGAAGTGTGTGTTGGGAATGATCCATAAAAGAGTGAATGCTCACTATTGTGATCCATTTTTCTTCTGTACGTTTTTCGGCGTCTGTTTTTCCACAATTTTTGAGCTATTTCAACAATTCATATATTGAAATATTCAGCTCTTTCAGGACAATCCTGCTATGACTTATGGTATTGATGCAACTTTAGCTTGTTGAAATATTTAGCCTTTTCTGCCACTTTTTTTTCTCAGAAAATGAACTGAGCTCATTTTACATCCTTCAAACCTTTAGATCTGTTTACAACCTTTTACTGCTCCTTTCATATTTTGTTCTGCTTCAGCTTCCTGCGGCTAATTTAAACTTTTTTTCAGCTATTTTCAGCAGTTTTTTTCAGCAGTTTGGTGATTCTTTTAGATTATTTCTGCTAACTACAACATTTTTGTACATCTTCTAATTTCTTTCTGCTAAATTCAGCTTATTATGCTCCTTTCAGCTTATTTATGCAAGTTTCAACTTTCTTTGCTATTTCAGCTATTATTTAGCTGTTTTCAGAGTCAGAGTCAGAGTTTCTTTATTGTCATTCGCACCTCATGTGGTGGAGCGAAATTATGTACACGGGGTCCCAGTTACATCCAACAATAAAATATAAAATAAAAACAGTAATAACATCTAAGATATGAACTAAGAAAAACATCAACTAAATATACACTAAGCACTCATAACATAAAACATTGAACATCAGCACAAACACAAATTTTCAATGCTAAGTTTAGCTTTTTCAGCTAATTCCACATTTTTTTGCACTCATTTCAACTTTTTTCAGCATAATTCAGAAAAAAAGAGCGCTCTCTCCACTTCTTTTAACTTAAGCTTCTTTCTGCTGTTTTAGCTACTTTTCAGCTGTTTTTTGCTTATTTCAGCTTTGTTCAGATAATTAACTTTTTTGTGCTCATTTCTGCTTCTTTCAGCTTAATTGGGCAAACGTATTCTTTCTGATTTCTTCAGTTAATTTAAGCTCGTTCTACCTTTTCAACTAGCTTTTTAAAATGTATTTATTTTAGCATTATTAGCTAATTTCAGAAGTTTTCAGATAAATTCTAGTTTTTGTGGTCATATCTGCTCATTTCAGCCTAATTAACTTCTTTATTATAATTTCAGCTTGTTATGCTCCTTTAAGCTATTTTCCTGGAAGATTCAGCTTTTTATGCTATTTCAGCTACTAGCTGTTTTATGCTAATTTTAGCTTTTTCAGCTAATTCCACATTTTTGGAGCTTATTTCAGCGCTTTCCACATTTTTCTGGTAGTTTAAGTTTCTTTCTGCCTTTTCAGCTACTTCTCAGCCTTTTTTTTTTGCTAATTTCTTTATTTTTGTGCTCATTTCTGCTTATAATAATAATAATAATAATGTCATCACAATGTCAGCACTGTATGTTTCCATACAATGGCGAAATTAGTCTCTGCATTTAACCCATCCACCACCAGGTGGTGCAGTGGGCAGCTATTGAAAGCGCCCGGGGGACATTTTTGGGGATTAGACGTGCTGCCCAGAGACGCCACGTGATGTGCAGTGACTGGGGATCGAACCTGGGACTCTCGGGTCCCAAGCCGGCTGCCCTGCCTCTACACCATCTCGGCCCCACTAAGCCTAATTCAGCAAATTTGTGTTCTTTCTGCTTTCATCTGCAAATTTAGGCCTGTTCTTTCATTTCAGCACATTTTTAGCTAATTTAGTTTTTCAGCAATAAGCATTCACACTGCATTTTCACAGCAAATACAATTTCTTTAGTTGAATTGAAATAGATGTTGAATTTAATCCCAGTGGATTAAACTGCTGTTCACAGATGTGTAATCTCTGATCATTTCTCTTAGTAAATAATTGGTTAAATCTAATGTTTTCATGCCATTTATTTGTAAAATTGGGTGTTTGTTCTGTTTTTTTTTTTTTTTTTTTTACAACAGAATACCAAAAGTTACTTTGGCTCTTTGACTGGTAGAGGCAACACTTTTTGTTAGCAAAATATCTCATGGACCAACAAGTTTTAATTAAAACTCCTAGAAAGTCTGTGTTGGAAAGTTGTATTTAAACTGCACCAAGTTTTCTGCCTTACATTGTATCGTTCAGGTATTTTTTTGTAAATAAATATTGTCATTGCCACAAATGTTTTTTTCTCGTTCAGTTTTATTTGAACTTTCCCTCCTGTCTTCAGGGAGCTTCAACGTGGCATTCCTATAACGGATGAAAACGACAATCGGCTCGGGGAGTCGACGAAGGCGGCGGAGCAGGCCATCTTTCAGGTCGTGGTCTCCAGGATCCTCATGGCTTCTCCAGGGATGGGTACGGACATTTCTGATTAAACGAGATTCAAACGCGAACGTTAATAGTTTTACGTCACGTTACGTTGGTGTTTTCTCAGCCATCCCCCCGTTTTTAATGAATCATCTGGAGAAGAAAGCTTTTCTAAAGGTAGGTGTTGGTTTTTTTCTACGACAGCTGCAGTTTATTAAACACAAAGTGAGGAACGGAGGAAACAATGCTGGATTTTAAACTAAGCCTCGTCTAGAATCTCCCATCAGAGGAGTGGAAACCAGTCCGGTCTGGGAGTTCAGCGCAGCTTTTGTGTGCCTCGTTCATTTTTCTGCTGTCTCTTTTCAGCGCTTCCCATGGATGAGTGCACCTATTCAAGTCAGCCTGGTGGGATTCTGGTGAGTCAGAGCTGGGCCCACCTGATCAGCCCTCATCAGCAAAACCTCTCATTTCAGCCGGATCTCTCTCAACCTTCAGGATGAATGAGGTCCGTTGTCTTTAACTTTCACACGGTTTTATCTTTTAGCCTGGTGTTCGCCACGCCTCTGTGCTGCGCCTTGTTCCCCCAGAAGAGGTGAGCGGAAACATCCGAACTCGATCCGGAGTCGATCGTCAGTCACAGCAGTCCTGTTAACCCTTTCTTTGCTCTCCAACCCGATCCAGCTCCATGTCAGTCAGCCGCCTGGAGCCGGAGCTGCAGGAGAAAATCCGAGCCAGCCACCCGGGCGTGGAGAGGGTCTACTTCAACAAAGGGCTATGAGTGTGTGTGCCCCCCATCCCCCCCAACGCTGCAGGCTCGGCCCACACCTCCCTGCCTGCCGTCCACATCCATTGTGCCAAAGTTAAGTTTGTTTCGTCCCATTTCCACCGTTCAGGTAAACGTCCGAGGACTCGGTCAGCGTCGTTGTAAAAATCGGGGACAGATGCTCCAAGAACCGGCGAGAGGTTTCTCACGACGGCTGCACTGTGTTCTGTCAGAATGTCTCGAGTGAATCTGGTGATTTGTTTTGAAATCTCTGTCACACCTAAAGTTGGCCGACATTTTTTAACTAATAATTCATTAACGACTCAGCACTTCTTGCATTTGCCAATTCTCTATACCAGGGCTATTCAACTGGTGGCCCACGGGCCATTTCCGGCCCGCGGGTGACTTAAATCCGGTCCATTTCATAAAAACAAAAAACTTCTTTTTTTTTTTTGATTCTGGGTTTGGGTTCTGTTTATTGCATTTATGCTTCAATGCAATAAAATAAACACATTTAAAAGGCAACAGATCACTGTAATACCGTACTTGGTGTATTTATATAATGACTTTAATCGCTGGATGTCCGGCCCCTGAGCTGTGGGCTTTCAGAAACTGTGGCCCCCTGAGCAGTTTAGTTGAATAGCCCTGCTCTACACGTTTGTTTTTACAATCGCAACCTCTGAAGTTTTTCTCAAAATGTAATTAAGTGACTGTAAATGGAGTTCATTTTGCCAAATGAGTGACGTTAATCTGATCATGTATCCAAAAATCTGTTCTCAAGGGACCCGCCCTCCCTGTGAAATGTGACGGGCCAGCATGGTGCTATTCTTAACAATCCGTGTTTAGCATTATTCTGCTATTAAGACATGCATGAACAAACCACTCCATGGATTTGACCTCTGGCTCTGTTAAAGATTATTCTGATTGCTCAACAGACTTCATGAGACTGACTGGTAACATTTCAGTAAATCTCACATTTATCTGTGCAACAAGTGAGGATAACGCTGAACAAAATGATGCACAATGAAGTATAGAAGATAAATTGTATTGTTTTAAGGTCTTAAAGAATTTCATGCATATGGAGTGACTGACTTGTAGAGAAAATGTCCAAAAATACTCGTGTAGGTTCAGTTGCAATCAGAAGTTTACATCTGCTCATCGAGGTCATGAATGTCTCATTCATTTTGGGACTTTTAATGTTTTAATTGAATTGTTCTTTTTGCATATTTCACATCTTTATTCATATATTTTTTTTACCTGCTTTCTCTTTCTGGGTCACAAGGAAGCTGGCATCTCCAGCAGTCACATAAAACTTTAAAGCTTTAAAAAAAAACAAAAAAAAAAAACAGGTTGCGGTAATTTAAACTTATTGTGAATTTTTTTTTCTAACCCCCACTGGGTCAAAATTACATTTCATACCAAACAACTTGGAATAGGGCTGGGGTTAGGCGTCCCAGTGAAATAATATGGAGACAGAAAGACCCAGTTTAGTGAAGTATTACAAGATGTAAAGCCCAAAATCCCAGGAATTAGACGGTTCCAAGCATCTGCCTAACTTGAGGCTGTCGTACTTCTTGAACAAAGCGTATCAGTAAGAGAAGCCTCATTTTTTTTCTGCTGTTCAGTCTCACCACAAATCTCTCTCTTTAGCGCAGCCTTGATGCGTGCAGGATCGTCATAGCGCAGCCACAACAAAACTTCCAGTTCTTTTCTAGCCAAGGCAAACGCAACACATAAATCAGCTGTAGGCGAGATAAAGTCACAAATTCATCGTTCTCTGCCACGGTTTGTAAAATGCCGTGGCAGAGTCAGAGCCCTTACATCACGTCCTTTAGGACTAGCTCTAAGTTCTGTTAGCAAACAAGCACGGAAACGTCTGCACCTCCGTAGATCTCTGAAATCGAGGGTTTCGTGTACATCTGCACATACAAGGAATTTTCTTTAGGCAAAGTTGTGCAGTCTGCTCCGAGGAGCTGGAAGCCTGGTCCAGTGCATAGTCTGTACCGGCTCATACAGCCACGTCTGTGAAGCACGAAACGGATGGTGGCTTTGACTTTTATGAAGCCGACTCTGATGTTGCTCTCTGCTCAGTCAGTGGCCTGTAGTCTGCTGAGCTTCAGTTGAACTGGACTGGAACTTTAACCCAGTCCTAGGAACTGGTTCGGAAGCAGATGAGACCACATGATGTGAAGCCGCAGAGTTGATTCCCGTAGAAGTTATGGGAAAAAAAATGCCATTAGACATCAAACTGTAAACACACATGTAGTAAACATAATTCTGATGCTTCTTATGGAGGACGTATCAAAAGACCCATCAGTGAACCATGTTTCACCACAACAGCCGTGTTTGTGTGGCAGGCGTGAACATCTGTAGTTTCTGGATAAACCTGAATGTGACAGATGTTAGTCCAATGAGATTTAGCAAACGAATCCTTTTTATGCCAGCAACGAGAAACTAGCAGCTGCAGTCGATCCTGGTCACTAATGAGAAGTTAAGCTTTGGTCACACCAAGTTACCTCCTTACAGATCCTTCAGTGCCACGTACTGAAAGACGTAGGTGGGTGTATGTATATATACGAGCCTGTGTGGATGAGAGAAAATCCACACCAAATACAAACTTGTGCACAGTTCTTATTTTTTTAAAACCTTTGACGGTTTACGTTGAGTAATCATTTCACCCTGGGAAAAAAAAAAGAATCAGATCCGTGCTGAAAGCCCCCAAAATAAAATATCAACGCCCACAACGATGGATGTAAACCTCTGAGTGCATCTCCTGGAAAGAGCCGACCAGTGACATGACGTCAGGCTGCTGGGAAAACTTGGAACATGTCAGCTGTGGGTTTCAGGAATGTTGGAACTCCAAAGTAACGAGGTCTCCTGTTTGTGTTAGGAGTCCATCAGAGTCCAGAGCTGTTGAGCAGATCAAGCAGAAATGTTTCCCCCCTGCTGTATCCAGATGAGTCAGCTGGATTCAGACACAGCAGGTGGTTTGAACTCTTTGTTCTGCTGGTGTATACAACTGTAACAACAGAGTGAAGCCTGTCAGAAGCATCACTAAATGTTATTAAATCAGGGATGAGAGTGACAAACCAGATACGATTCCCCAGCATTGTCTGGAAACGTCACCAGTTTGAATCTTCAAATTATTTGAACGTTTTAAAGTGTGTCGACTTTTTCCATGTAATGCAAAGGTTTACATGTTTGATTGCATCAGACGTGCTGTGAACATTCATCCAGTTCTTTGTTTCAGTTTGTTCCTCCTCGCGCATCTTTGTCAAAGTAATTTAGCTTGTCGGTGTTTCCAGGACGACGTGTCGGACTCGTTCCTCCCTGCTTCGGGGTGAAGTTAAATGTTCTTGTGTTTCAGATAACTGAATGTGGATTTTTTTCTCGTCCCCGGTGTGTTTGTCTAGAGAAGCACGTTTTTTAACGAGTGAGGAATGCTACACTTTTAAAAACATGCCGTTTTTTTGACCACAGTAATCGGCAACGGAAAGAAGAAAAATACTTAGTTTAAAAATCCCCTTATTTATCAAAGTTCATGCTCAATAATCCAGGTACAAATCCAACAATGTTTAGTCGGGTCATCTGGACGGTTTCTTTTTACGTTGAGACATTTCATCCTTCATCCAAAGGACTTCATCAGTCCGAGGAGCCACAACAAACTGTCCCATAAGCAGCACACTCGCATAGTGTGGATTATTGAACTTTGATGTTTTGAACCCCTTTGGCTATGGCAGCCTCAGTCGTCGACAGGGGAGAGGGTGGGCTCCAGAAACCATCTCATCACCAGCTAACTGGTTGACCCACTATGTGAGTGCTGCTTGTGGGACTCAGTTTGTTGTGACTCCTGACTGATGAAGTCCTTTGGGTGAAGGGTGAAATGTTTCTTCATCATCATCCAGATGACCTGACTGAACTTTGTTGGATCCCCTTATTTAATTTCTGCTAAGGGTACAAATGTGACAAGTCTACAACGTGCATTGATGAAAAACAATATTTTAAATACTGTTACAAACTGTATGTGATTGTTTCGCAGTATGTTGGGGTGATGTAATGTCGACAATAACTGGACAAAATAAAAGTTGATTCAATCATCAGTGTTGGTCACCAGCGCCATCTTGTGGTCACAGCATGTTACAAACATTTTAATCAAAGGCACAATGTTCAGAGGAAACGGGACAACAGACCTACAGACAAGTCTACAAGACATTAAATAGCATTCGAGACGTGATTGCTACAGAACATAATGCATGATGGGAAAGTAGATCCTTTAACCTTCAGATTAAGATAAAATTCTATGTTTCGCTAATTTTGTGACTTTAGCTTAAAAACGGTGCAAAAACAAAGCGAGACAGTTCAGTGACAAGTCTAATCTCTTTAGCTTTGATCATACAAAGTGAATTTATAAACGATAATGATCTACTTATTTCATCAGCGCACGTTTGGTCGATCTGCTCCCAGCATTAGAATACTTTATCAAGTGCATTCACAGAAATCCTTCAAAAAACAAACAGCTGAGTAACTGACAGATGTGCATCAACACTGTAAGCAGTGCATGAATGTGTTTACAGTGTGGTCACAAGTGATCACCTGTATGGACTTCAACGTTATAAATGAGCAATATTCACATTGACAAAGTGCAGAACTCAAACTTTCAACACATGTTTTGTTGACCTTTGTTCAGTTTGGGAACAAGAAGTGCAGGAAACCTTCCATCTCCTGCGATGTGAGGAATGTGTTGAACTTTGCCAACGCGGCACATCGATTGGCACTTTAGGGTAACATTTCCAGCTCGCTCGGCTGTTTTACATCACTTACTGCTTGTCATAAGGCTGCTTAGGTTAGCTTTTAGCGCATCGTGTAGTACACGTTGTGTATATACGCTGTGTGTTTTGGACAATCCAAAAATAAAAAGTTAAGATTTGGATTCAGCAATAAATTCTTCACAAGAGGATATACAAACCAAGGTAGATAAATAATATAAATAGTCTGATGAGTAATTTTTTCAACAGTGTGATTTCCTCTTAAGGAAATTTAGTTAAAACTTTGTAGTGTCCGCTGGGGCACTGAGGTTTAATTGTCTTTGGATTTAGGAGTAAAATTATTTCTGCTCAGATGCTCTTTACAGCGGAAGGATGGACCAGGATTTATAGAAAGTCTTTCATTGTCTTAAACAATTGCAGTTACCGTATTTCAGCGTAATAAAAGTCTTAGTTGGCGACGTGAGCTGCGCCTCCTCAGCACATCTCCTCACACAGCGTCTCCTCCACCAGCAGGGAGTGTTTGTCGGGCTCGTTGAGCGCCAGGCTGTTGAGCGAGTGCTTGTCGGAGCGCAGCGAGTTGATCGAGGCTCGGCTGTAGCTCACGATGCGATCCAGCAGGCTGAGTTTGGGGGAGGGACGGCGCACATCTCCCATGCCGATGTGGACGCTGACGTCAGACAAGCTGCCCTGCTGCCTGCTGTTCCCAAATTTGGCCTCCAGCTTCTCAGCGGTGGGCTTAGTGTAACTGCACAGAGACAGAAAGAGAAAGTCACAATCAGGTGCACAAAAAGGCATTCAGAAAAGTGTAAATATGTCTCTACCATTTGAGTAGAAGAGACGATAAAACAACAGAGACAGAGGACAGCGCCATCGCAGCAGAACCCATCCACGGCTGTAACACCAGACCAACAGGAAGGAACACACCTGCAAAAACAGCATTCATTACAGATTTCCTCTAAATTATCTGCAACTAAGTGTGAGGATATATTAAATATTGAATATATTTGAAATATTTTATAGTGCGTACCAGCGGCAATAGGAATTCCAACCAGGTTGTAGACGAGAGCAAAGATAAAGTTGATCCTTATCCTTTTGACGGTCTTTTTAGAGAGGTCAATACTGCCAACCACATCCAACAAATCATTCTGCAAACAAAGTAAATGTGAAGTACCGACACACTGAGTGACACTTAACTGAGAAATGTAAAGCAACATTAAAGATCCCTTTACAACAAGACTGATGGGGTTATTTCAATACAACAACATTTTTCTGACATTAACTGATTTCTCTCCTTGGTGACCAAGTTACTCTCAGCACAAAGGAGGAAAATAAAAAGCACTGAGGCAACAAGTGTTTCTTTCTATTAAACTAAAAACAGCTAAATCATCTGTTCATTTATGAACTGGATTGCATTGCTCAAAAAATCTAAATACAGTAGACCCTCAATACTTCGCAGTTTGATTTTGCAGATTCACTCTTGAGGGTTTTCAACGTAAGATTGTACACGACATGATGGGCAATGGGGAAAGACAGACCCCACCACACGTCCCCTCCTTTCGCTTTCTGAGGTCGTCACTACAGTCTCAGAAAGAGAAAGGAGGGGGCGGGGGTCTGTCCTTCCCCATCGCTACTGCTCAGGGAGCAGGGATGAACAGATCAGATGAACAAATGTAGAACATGGAAGAAAATGTTTAGGTGGAAAAAGAAGAGTGAATCAATAAAAAAAAAAAAAAGAGCGGCTGAGTGCGGCTCACTCAGGTATAAGACGGACTCCCCACTCGCCCCTCCTTTCTCTTTCTGAGGCTGTTACAGGCGGGCGCACAACAGACAGCATCTGAAAAAGAAAGGAGGAGGCAGGGGTGGTCTGTCTTACACCTGCATGAGCCACACGAGCAGCATGGATTGTTTGTTTAAAATAATCAAATGTGACCCGAACCGAGCTTTTAGTCCCCATCGGCGATCATTGAGCGGGCCAGGCCACTGGGAAATGTCCCGTTGCTCCCGATGGCCAGTCCATTTGACTCAGTAACTGTAGCATCAGTATGACTGCTCTCTCTTGCTGTGCATTTTTGGAGCGTTTAGAACATTGCAAGAGAGTGGGAAGGGTTTATAAAGTCTTACAATACACTGCCTGGCCAAAAAAAAGTCACCACCTGGATTTAACTAAGCAAATAGGTACGAGCCTCCTATTGGATATTTACTGCATGGGTGATTATCTTTCAGCTGGCAACAAGTTATTTAACCCCAACTGGTGCAATGAGTTGCTTCTCATTTCTTAATCAACCATGTCGAAAGACACATCGTGTAGTTGTGGAAAAGATGTCAGTCTGTTTGAGAAGGGTCAAATCATTGGCATCAAGCAGAGAAAACATCTAAGGAGATTGCAGAAACTACTAAAACTGTGTTAAGAACTGTCCAACGCATTATTAAAAACTGGAAGGATAGTGGGGACCCATCATCTTTGAGGAAGAAATGTGTCAGGAAAAAAAATCCTGAATGATCGTGATCAGCGATCACTTAAATGTTTGGTGAAATCAAATGGAAGAAAAACAACAGTAGCACTCAGAGCTATGTTTAATAGTGAAAGTATGAACATTTCTACACATACAATGCGAAGGGAACTCAAGGGATTGGGACTGAACAGCTGTGTAGCCTTTTCTTCCCTGATGACATGGGCATATTCCAAGATGACAGTGCCAAGATTCATCGGGCTCGAATTGCGAAAGAGTGGTTCTGGGAGCATGAGACATCATTTTCACACAAGGATTGGCCACCACAGAGTCCAGAACTTAACTCCATTGAGAATCTTTGGGATGTGTTGGAGAAGGCTTTGCGCAATGGTCAGAATCTGCCATCATCACTGCAAGATCTTGATGAAAAATTAACGCAACACTGGATGGAAACAGATCTAGTGACACTGCAGAAGTTTATCGAAGCAATGCCACAGTGAATGTATGCCGTAATAATAATAATAATAATAATAATAATAATGTAATAATAATGGTGTTCCAACGAAATGTTAGTGTGTGACCTTGTTTTTTTTGGTTGCAACTTTCTTTTGGCCAGGCAGTGTACGGTACATATACATACTAAAATAAATATAACATCCCTACTTTGTGGATTTTCACCTATTGCGGGGTGTCTGGAACATACCCCCCATGATAAGTGAGGGACTACTGGATCTTTTTTTCAAAGTGGAATCATGTGTCTGTAGAAATAAAATCACGTGAATATCCAGTGATTGGTTTTGTGTGTCTGCTGCAGGCCATGCAGCAGTCTTTAGCTTCTTTCTTACCCTGATCAACACCACATCTGCTGCCTCTATGGCCACGTCTGTCCCAGTTCCTATGGCGATGCCGACGTCTGCCATGGCCAGAGCAGGCGAGTCGTTAACCCCGTCCCCCACCATGGCGACTATTCTTCCCGTCTGCTGCAGCTGCTCCACTTTGGCCACCTTATGGGAGGGCAGCACCTCTGCAAACACCTTCCTGATGCCCACCTGTTGGAATACAACAAAGAACACTAAGTATGTGTAAAAATATAAATTTTTACTGCAACAAATTGGATAATATAAAATAATTTTTTTTAATTTATAAAATGTAGAAAGTAATCTTGACTATATTGACTCAAAATGACAAATATCCCTTCTATTTTTTTTTTACCTGAGCAGCGATGGCCCGAGCCGTCTTGCTGTTGTCTCCAGTCATCAGAACAACTTCCAGCCCCATGCTCGTCAGAGTGTCCACTGCCAGCTTCGCCTCGGGCTTCACTGTGTCAGCTATAGCTATCATCGCACACAGCTCATCTAAGCACAAAAATAAAAAGATGTGATTCCTTGTCTAACTTTCTTCAAGAAGAATAGTTTGCAGCAGTCTGTGGAACATCACTCACTGTCTACAGCTACTAGAACTGCCGTACGACCTCTGCGCTCATGTTCCACCATGGCTTCATTGATGTCTGGACCCACGATCAGACAGTTTCTTCTCATCCACTCCCTGTTGCCGATCAGGACAATAAAACTGGCTGTCTGAACCAAACCTGAACACAACAGATTTTTTTAAGTGAATCGAGTTCACCTTTTTTATATACGAAACAGTGAAAGTCTAAACTTCTCTACGCACTAAGTGGCTGCGGGTCCATGATGAGTGGATGGGAGCTGGTGGCTGTCAGAGTGTCGCCGATCTGGACGAGGACGCTGTTGCGATGGTTGTTGTCCTCGCCGTCATTGTCCAGCTGCTTCAGCAGAGTCTCCGTGTTGCTGACCTGACATCGAATGCCACAGCCCGGCACTGCCTGGAAGTCTGTGCACGTGCCGAGAGATTCAGTGCTGAGCTCCTGCAAACAAGAAATAATGGATCATCTCAGGCGAGTGGCACTTTGTTCAGATGTGAAGGTGGAGTGTCAGGTCGAATCTGATGTTGCGACCAACCTGTTTGCAGTACTTGGTGATGGCTGCTCCCAGTGGATGCTCGCTGTTGTTTTCAGCTGTGCCAACGATGGCCAGTAGGCGGGAGCGAGGCATCTTATTCCCCTCCACAACCATCTTGACCTGGACAACCTTTGGAGCACCGTAGGTGATGGTCCCCGTCTTGTCAAACACCACTGATTGGACCTGCATAGAACAGATAATTAAATTAGACGATCGATATGATTATTAATCGTTTTGTGGTATTTATATACATTAAAATCTACACTGAAATGTTTTGCAACACAAAGAAGTGGAACAATTTTTAGTGTTTAAACTGAAGTCCGCTCTGTTACATAATTAACTCCACACAGAAGAGTCAGTCGTCCCTAACGCACCTTATGCGCCATCTCAAGAGGCTCTCCGCCCTTTATCAGGATGCCGTTCTGAGCTCCAACCCCTGTGCCCACCATGACAGCTGTCGGGGTTGCCAAGCCAAGAGAACAGGGGCAGGCGATGCACAGCACTGTAATGGAGGCCTGGAGGGCGAACCGGATCACTGCCTCTGGTTTGCTAATGCTTTTATCATAACCCTGCGGGTGGAAAAGAAGGGAGTTAGTTTTTTCCGTTTTTCCCTTTCACAAGTAGCGATTTGTTTATCTTCACCATAAAAATAAATAACAGGAAATGAACATGCAGTGGCTTTTAGTTACGTATAAAATAATATAAGAGTCATTTCCTTCTCAGCTGAGGAACTAACAGATGCAAATAAAAAAAGGAACTCACAGGAAAGATGCTCTCCACAAGACTGAAGTCTACAAACCCAATGACGATCCAGGCGATCAGCGTAAGCACAGAAATGCCGACAATAAAGGGGACAAAGTAGCCGCTGATCTTATCTGCGTACTGCTGAATGGGAGCCTAAAATAAAACAATAATGATTACACTTAGTCTATTAGGCTCAGAGTTTGTAAAATACAGCACCGGTTTTAACCATTACCTTTGAAGTCTGAGCCTCCTCCACGAGTTTAACAATCTGAGACAGGGTGGTTTCCTGCCCAACATGAGTAGCGCTGATGAGCAGAGAGCCGTTCTGGTTGATGGAGCCTGCGATCACTGAGCTCCCGGGCTTTTTTGTCACCGGCATGGCCTCGCCTGGAATTACAAAGTAACAGCTATTCAGAGGAAACAAACAATGTAAGAAGAAACAAACGGCTTTACCGGAGGAAACTGAACAAAGCTCAAATAACCACAGGCTGCACATACAGTCAGTTTATCTACGTGATGACCTGATGGAACATGTATTCAGGCAACATGCTGTGAACACTGCAGAAACAAAAAAATATCGATTACTGTAATGTACTACTTGATCAAGTACACTGTAACAACTGAACATAGAAGTTCTTAATTAAAAAGAACTTTTAACACTTTTCTATTTTGTGATTTTACGATGTGACATACTTTGAATTTTAAGTTGGAAGACAAAAGTCGATCGGTGCATCTGGAAAGCAAAGTTCACAAAGCTGCAGCAGGAGAAATGTGTGTGCAGCAGAGAAGGAAATGAGCTGATCTGCTGCAGGAGGGAGCTTTCTCTTGCACTTGTGGGCGTCACACATGGTGCAAAATCATTTAAAATAATTTATTTTAAATAAACAACCCATGGCTCATCCATCAATCAGCCAACTGTGTCATGTCCAATCTTACTTTGAAAAACCGTGATATAGCGAATCCACGATAAAGGAGCCGTGAAGTAGCGAGGGACTACTGTACATCATTACAACAATTTAATGTTACCATAACTAGTGAAGACGTGATTTATCACCAGCAAACAGCATCAGTTCAACAAACCTGTGATGAGAGACTCATCAGCCATCGAATGTCCCTCAATGACCCTCCCATCGACGGGGAACTTCCCTCCGGGGACGACTTTCACCACATCACCTCTCTGCACCAGCTCAACATCCACCTGCTCCTCACTGGAACACATACGGACGTTTAACAATCCAACAACGGTTCAGCATCACAGTAAATATCACCTTTTAGATCATGTGATGGACATAAAACAAACTTGTTATACAAAATTTTGAGGACCAGGAAATCATCATCTTTCATTTTCAACATTTAGATATGTTGTAATCTAAAATGACCTAAAGAAGGTTAGTTTGAGCAAAGTGAGTAACGAAACCAAAGATTACCGAAGAATACTATTATCACTGCCGAGGGTGACGACTGTAGCCTCAGTAGCTTGTAAAGACATCAGTTTGGACAAAGCTTCAGATGTTTTACTCTGAAAGGCAGCACACAAAACACTTTAGATTCTTCAAATGCAAATATAAAGTTAAAAGACTCAACAGGTTCATTGAAAACTTCACAAATCAACAAATATCATGAGCTGAACCTTAGCAATCTGCTCCAGCCAGCGTCCCAGAGAGATGAAGACAAAAAGCATCGGAGGCGTGTCGAAGAAAGTGATGGGGTTGATTTTAGCTTTCTCCACCATGGCCACAAGCAGAACAATGCACGAGTAGCTGAATGCTATGGTTGTGGCCAAAACGATCAGCACATCCATGTTGGCGGACTTGTGTTTCAAGGCTTTGTAGGCTTGAATGTAGAAGTAACGACCTCCAATAAACTAAGGAGAAAAAAATGAATTACTTTACTGCTGCCTGAATGAGTCTGGTTTTATTTCTCCCACAATCTTAAAGCACCCTACTAAAATGTCATGCTTCGTGGTAGCGTGTAGTTTTACCTGTACAGGCACACAGAAGATAAACGAGAGAAGGTTCATTACGGAGAGGCCTGGGAGCAGCTGAGTCTCCAGGAACATGGAGGAGTGTAAACGGTTGAGGTCCTCCACTGTAGCATTATGGTGATGTGAAACTTTCATCTGGTGGTCCATGATAATCATGTAGATCATCATTCCCATCACAGGCACGCAGAATATCAAACTCACAAGGAAGGATTTCTTCCACCTTAAAACATGAAAAGATTTTAGTTACAATTGCATATAACTTTATAATGCAATCTAATTTTATTAAAGAGGAAAATTAATCATTGTAGACATTATTAACCCTAGTATCAACAAAAAATGAAAGCATAACTGGCACGTAAGTGAACAAACCTGGTTTAAAATGTACATGTATCAAGGTTCTTTATTGTAATTCACATCACATGTGGTACATGAGGTGGAATGAAATTGTGTACTCAAGGTCCCAGTTACACTCAAAAATAGCAAAAATATAAAGTATAAAAAAGAAACCGTATACAAGGAACTAAGATATAGGATAAACAGTAACAATGTAATATAATACGTAAATTAAACAGCAGCCTGAACACGTTACGTGCATATGTGTCTCTTTAATGATCTGATAGTACTTCATTTGTTCCGACTGTGGTTATGCCTTTTAATTATTCCTTGACCCTTGACACAGGGTGATCTGATTTAGTATTTCATCGTTTCTAATTATGTTTTGTGTTTTATATTTTTATTCCATGTGCTGTAGATCTTGTTACTTTTTATTTAATGCTGTGAACTTTTTTTTAAGCACTTTGGTAACAGTTTCTGTTTTAAACGTGTTGTATAAATAAATACAAATAAAGTCCAGTTGTTTTTGTCTAGAACTTTTTTGAATTTACCATGTCCTGGATGACCGAGAATCTTCACCAGTGTATATAAATAAATCTGACTTGACTTAAAAAATAAAATAAAATAAAAATTCACAGGATACGTCTTTCAGAGCCCCAATTGTTAAAACTTTCATTTGCATCTATAAGTATAAAGGGTGGCTGCTGGGACAACAGAAATGATTACATAATTAGTGGACATCACTAACTGCACACACCAACTGGCTGGTGACAAGAATCAGATGTATCAGTGAATACTAAAACACAAAAATCAGATTCAATTTTTTTTTTTAAATTTGTACAAATAATTTACTTTTCTCTAGAATTTATAACAATGAAGAAGACTCAGTTAGCCATCGATGATATCTGTAAGGTGTTTAAAATTAAAATCAAACAAAGCACAAGAGATGATTATTTTCTACAGAGGCATTTCACCGCTCATTCCAGCTGCAAATTAAACTGGTGACATATTTAGCTCCAGCCTTCTGTATGAAAACTATAATTTGAAACCAAGCAGACAAATAAAGATTAAACACTTTGTAATTGATGCGATTTAAAATTTGTGATTTCCAACGAATACAGTAACTATTAGTTGAATGAATGAACAGCACATTTGACAGTAAAGCTGAGGGGTTTCAAATATTTTATCAGACACTGCTGCAAACCATTTTATAGTCGGGGATAAAGATGTAAAATTCTCACTGTTGTATCTCTTTGCTGTGGTCCAGGTGGCTGGCAGTTCGGTCTCGCTTTACTAAAGATGCTTCAAATCCCAGTTTCTAAAAAACAACAAACTATTCATCAAACCTAAGATTTTTGTGATCAAAGAATTTAGAAGTAAATTATACGTTTTACTCAATCCATTCTCCTGACGGTTGAAGTTAAATGAGAAAACTTAAACATAATAATAAAGGAAAACAGGTTTAAAGAAAATACCTCAATCAACTTGATGATGTCTCGTGGCCCTATAATTTCAGAGTCGAACTTGATGTGTGCTTTGTTGGTTGCCAAGGCAACTGAGGCATATATGATCCCCTTTTCTTTCACAAGGCTGGATTCAATTTTGTGAACACAAGATGCACACGTCATCCCTCTGACCTGAAAGGTGAGGAGTAGTCAAGTAGATGAAGAGGGACAAGTGGTGCATGCATCATATTGTTATGTTGACTCACCACAAGTTCTAGGTTTCCATCCGAGCCTTCGTAATTCTCCATCACAGTGGCGGTGAAGCCGAGCTCTTTTATACACTCAGCGATGCTCAGGGGGTCCATGACTTTAGGATTATAGCGGACCTCTGCTTTACCAGCCATAAGTGCTACCAGAACGGAATAAATGCCTGAAAAAAAAGACAAGATTTCCTTTGTAGTTTTCAACAACAGCAAAAAGATGATAAAGTAAAAAATAAATAGGATCAAATATAAATTCTTCAAACCATGTTCATTTTTAAGGTTCCTCTCGATGTTTGACACACAAGAAGCACACGTCATCCCTCCGATCTGAATGTAGCATTTAGATGGTGTGTCTCCAGTGTGTCCTTGTGGGGTTTTGTTGCGACAATCGTCTAACTCCTTCTCTTGAACACGTGCTGTACTTGGAGATTTTGGAAAACCGGGTTCTGGCACCACAGGCAGCAGGGAATTGGTCTCTGTTTTGAAGAAATATTAAAGTACCATGTGTAGGAAGTTACAACATGTTCTGTTCAAGTTGGAATAATTTTCCAGCAGCTGTGCAGAAGCGTTTGAAACCACTTGTAACAATTTGTTGAGTAGAGCAAAATATGGATGAAACTAAACTTGAGAACATCAACGAGTAATACAGATGTAATTAAAATCAAAACATCTCACCAGGTAGAGTTGCATCAAAGCCCATGTCCTCTATGGCCTCCCTCAGCTCTTCTGGTGAGGTCAGGAGAGGATCATACTCAAAAGTCCCCTCATGATTAACTAGAGAGACACGGGACGACATCACCCCCTTTCTTTGGGAGATCATACCTTCGATAGACTGCACACAGGAGTTGCATGTCATGCCTTCAATGTGAATATTGATGACAGAATTCAGAGGCTGGGTGAAGCAAAGCCGTGATGCAGACGAGGCAGATGGTGGTGATGTAGGTGCAGGACTGAGTGCAAACAAAGAGTCCCAAGATTCAGTCTTAAAGTTCCCTGGAGGCAGTGCTTCGATAGCTCTCTGCAGATCAGGGACGGTGATCCTCAGAGGATCATAGCAGATTGTGGCCTTCTCCTTCTCCAGAAAGACCTCCACTGATGAAACTCCAGGCAGCTTTGAAATATTGTCTTGAATATTGACCACACAAGAGCGGCAGTGCATGCCTTTTACCCTGAGCATGACAAGAACTGTGTCTATAAAGATTTCCGTCTCCTCCGATGTTTCCGACGATGAAGGTGCTGTCGATTTCTGAGAATCAACAAAACGTTCGATTTCTCTGGGGGACAGCTGCAGGGGGCGGGGCTTGGACTTAACAGAGGCATTGAAACCCGCCACAGCAATCTGGTCGATGATGGTTTGGACAGAGATGAGGTAAGGCAGGTAAACGACTGTAGCTTCCTGAGAGTCTAAAACAACTGTGGAGAGCCAAGACACGATAAAGTTAATACACAAAACAAAAATTGCCTATCTAATTATTTTACAAAGTCATGGAGTGACTAAATAAAAGATAATCATGCTTGGATTAGAAAATATATGTAAATTTAATATAATTACACTAAACTGTACATTCACACAAGAGAGTTAGTTTAAAATACTGCTTTGCTTTTTTGTACAGCGATGCTTTCCTTGTTACAAATTTAAAGAGAGGTTTTCAGGACAGCATCAAATCAGAAACTCAACCTGGAGGTGTGAGCAACAGGTTGAAAATAAGGAAACTTTGCAGATCATAAATGTTTGACTTTTTAAGACATGATCAACCTAAAAACCACAATCACCAAGCAGCTATTACAACTGTTCAAGTTTGTTTGAAGCAAACATAAAATTATTAATGAAAATCTCTTTATTTCAAATATTTTTTACACCGTTTACACATGGGCAGTGCAATGAAAAAGACAATTGCTTGCATCTTCAGAGCATTTGTGTTGTTTGTAGATCTGCATGTTTTTAGACAAGCTAACTGTAATTTGGACATCAGACTGGATGAATATTTCCTCACTGCCCTCTCAGGTTGCATCAGTGTTGGGATAGCGAGCAAGTTGTGTCTCAAAAAGTTTCCATACAATCTAATCAAAGTGTTGTACAGTCCTATCACTTATTAAACCAAATCCATTAAAACAATTCTCACTGAGATTTGTTCTCAACTTAAATTTCATGGAAAAACAAAACCCATGAAGAATAAAGTATTTGATCAGTTTCAACTTGAACCAACATTTAGTTTTCAATTACTGGAAGTGAGGTGGTGTGACTAGTTTATCAAACTGTGCAGTAATCCTGACCTATGAAAAAAAAAAAAAGCATTTAGCTACAATAAGTCAAATGCACCGTTTTCCCTGATTTTTAATCGTGAACTCAAAAGGACAAAATCTGGGAGTGCAGCTACAGACCAAGTAGCTTTGCTATACATATAAATAGTGTTAACTTATTATTTTATATATGAATATTTCTGTTCAGTGCCCTGAGATAACTTCTGTTGCAACTTGGCACTATATAAATAAACTGAATTGAATTTAAATGTTTAAAACGGTGTGAAAGTACAAATTTTTTTAAATGTGCTTTTAGCAACAGTAAAAACACACATACTGTGTTTTATTTCCATTTTAATAAAGACAAGTTATTAGACTGTGACTTTTGTTGTTCAGTAGGTGTTTGTTGATAATTAAATGTGCCTAAAATGCTCAACATCTAGCTGGCTGCCCAAACGCTCACAATAAACATAATGACATGCCATGCTGAGCAATCATAATCTTGTCTGTCTGCATGGAACTCCCTCAAACAAAAAACAGTGAACGATTTTATGAGTCATAGTAAAATCCTACACAGAAATCTTTCTGAGGGCACAGTGACACGACACCGATAATCTTAGTCACAAGATGAAGCAGCTGTGCTCACACTTTCTTGCAGCTTTGACCATGCAGTTACACATAATTACAAGCTACTGTATGAAACTGAAATATATGTCACCTTTGATCTTTTCAATTCCTTTCAGTTTCCCAATCTTCCCTTCGATAGTGGTGGTGCAGGAGTGACAGGTCATTCCTTCAATGCACAACTTCAGAATTGCAGCTCTGTCCTCCTCAGCGTCTGGCTGAGACAATTTAAGGCCTTTTAGCGTGGGGCTGCCAGGAGTTTGGACCTCTAGAGGTGTTGCTCCATCCACTACCTCCCTCAGCTGCTGTACAGATGTCAGGGATGGGATGAAAGTGACAGTGAAACCTGACTGTGCCAGGCTCTCTCGGACATCCAGCACTCCTTGAATTTGTGACAGTTTTTCCAAAGCTTCCTGTTGGGCTGCAGGTGTCAACCCTGAGGTAGAGAGCAGGTGGGTATCTGTGGACAATGGAGTGGCTGTGCTGCTCCCTGGTACACTAGAATCAAATCCCATGTCCTCGATGGCCTCTACTAGAGACGTGGGGCTCTGCTGACTCTGGTCAAAAATGACAGTAGCTCTCTGTTGCTCTAAAGACACCTACAAATCAAATATTACAAGTTAAGGAACACTGTAAAATATATATATTTTAAAAATACAGGAAAACAGTTCAGACAATAATTTTTGCATGTACGCAAACATCTTGATTCTACTAATCAATAAAGCGAAGATATCAAAAGGTAGCTTTGCATTTTTATCGATCAAATTAAGCCTTTACGATAGTTTCCAACTGTTGATTAGTTGGAGTCAAAATAGCAAAAACATTGCGAGAAAAAAGGGCTAATTTTCGGTTTAAGTATCAGTCTGCAACCAAGGAAATGGCAGACTAAGTTTTTGAAAATCATAGCTTGTGTAAAGTTTGCAAAATTGTGTTTTAGTTCTTGCACATACATTTTTTCCCCACCTCCACTCACATAGTTTATTTATTTATCTATCAACAGTGCTAACCACTGAGCCATCGTGCTGCCAACCACCCTGGCTAATGACGCTGCTACTACATTTATGATCAAATCTACTGGAGTCCACTTTTGAAAAAAAAAAAAAAACTACATTTAGAACCACTATTTGGAGTGGTTTTATGAATGACATTCATTTTATGAATGATTCTTATTTATCATCTGTGTGGTTTTTAAACTTGGACATATTTTCTGTCAGCTCTGGTGCAGGTGTCAAAATACAGCTCTAGTATTCCTGAGGCAGGTTTGAGATCCTGTGAAAACTTTGAAACTATTTAGTGAAATAATTAAATAATTAAGTCACAAATTTTATGAACATACTCGAGAATTAAAAAAAAAAAAAAGATTGAAAGCCTCTGTGACTCAAGTGAGGAAATTGTGAAGGCCAGCGAAGGATTTAGGACATTTGGAAACTTCCTCGGGAATACCATTCACCAACAAGATGCCTAGTTATTTTATTACAAGGCTGTACACATTACCGTAACTTACTGCAAGTTCAAAGATTATTTAGATAAAAGGCAAAAATAACTCTTCTTATAGCATCATATGACCACCAATGTCCAGTCAGTTCAATTTTAATGACATTTTACTGCCTTACTGTGCATCTATCTGGTCTCCGCAATAAACTTTTGAGCATAAAATAGCTGAAGTGAGTTCGTGACCATGCTCGCTCAGCATGATATCCCTCACATCTGTTTCTTGAGCAAGAAAGAAACATGTGACAAACAGAAGGAATCACCTGACTTTGCAGTAAGTAAAAAAAAATAGCAGTAAGCGAGTTTTTTTGCTGCTTACAGGATTAACCTTTTACTTTTTTTTTTAAATAATGATACAAAGAAAGAAATGATGTTCTAAGAAATAGGTAAAAATATATACATTTACTCCCTGCAGATCATTTCTAGACAGGTTGACTAAACGATCCAGGCACTAAATTCACTCAAGACGTAACAATTTCCTGAGGGTGCAGAGTACATATCGACTTGCTGTCACAGACCTGCAAAGGGCAGAGAGCTATTGGTAACACACAATTACATTATCTTCTATTTCAAACTTGGCCTGCAGGGTAAACATGCATTAAAACAAAACAGCAGACCACTGCTCTTGTATTTAAGCTGTCTCACATGGTGCATGGACGTGTGTCTGCTTTTTAAACCAGATATACAGAGACAGTAAAACTGCAACATTAATCAACCACCTGTGTCTGAAGGACAGAAATGTTTTGTGATTAAAATAGAGTACCCATACATATTTCTGTCTTGACAAGAGTCTCTTCTTTAAAAATAAATAAAGTATCAACTGTAATCATTGTAGATCCCATTCTTAAAGTGGGAGAGATGTAGCAAGACATTGTGCCCAGTCACATTTAAAGAACAGCACATCAAAACAGACACATTTTATTTAAATTTAGCCATTACCTTTATGTGTATCACCCCGTCTAGAGACCCAATCCTCTGCTCTATGGACTGGACACACGAGTCACAAGTCATTCCCTCAACTCTGAGGGAAACTGAGCACAAACTGGCTTTGTGTGTCATGACTGCGTTGCCTAAAAACACATGAAGACAATATTAATTTGGCTTTAAAAGAATGAAAGAGATCAAAACAAGACTAGAAACAGCAAAATAAACAAAATTATCATATATTTTGTTTTCCTGGAATAGTGATTTAGTCCTTTTCAAATAAATAATTTCATCCCAAACTAATATCAGTATGTTTATCATCAACATAATGTAAAATAACTGTTACTTTTTGTCATGTTCATCTACACAAAAAGAAAAAAAAAACATTCAACAACACAGTCATGGTTTCACAGATAAAAACATACATTTAAAACACGCCTTTTAAGTAAGTGAAAATAAAAGAAGTACATTTATAAACTCTTACCTTTACCACAGCAATAAAAACAACCAGTTAGCTAAAAGGCTAACGACGTCCACTCACTGACAGAGTGGCTAAGCTAACAAGCTAGTTAGCATCTTCTCTTCCTCCGCGTTCAGTACAGTCAGCAGAACAGACACGTCTCGACATGATGCCAACAGCGTGGGAAAAAACATAAAAATGACTTTACTGCTCTCGAGTTGCCTTCTTATAAACTTAAGCTCCCCTGTTTCATGTCTTAGTTCTTTTTATCCAACCGAGTGCCGACTACTCTACAGTGCCAGTGAAACAGCGTCAAGGGGCGGAGCTTAAAACAAAAGTCGTCTGACATCACGGGTTCATTTTGCCCTGAATTTGCCCTTAAGGCTGGACTCCTTCCTGTGATACAACAAAAACACATTTTAGTGAACTATGTTTCATTATATTCCATTTATTGGGTGTATTTTCTGGCCATTATTGACCAGTTGTTGTTAAGGGCATAACTTAACCTAAAGGGCATAACTCGAGAATTTGTGCGAGCCTACCAGGTGAACTTAGGACCACCTGTCTGTCTGCCCTAACCTGCACCCAGGGAAAGGTGAGCGAGTGTGTCCTTGAAATACAAACTCGAAGCAATATTTTCACATTCAAATTCTTTTAAAGAGAAAGTTAGTCTATATTAAGTCTCAAATTGTGTGTTTTTTACTTTTAGGTGAAAGAAAAGTACATAAATCATTAATTCTATTCTGTATTCTATTACAGTATTTTGCTGTTTTTTTCTGACAATACTCAAAACCTGATTGACAATCAGTTACTTAGATTACAAGCTTGTCGTAGAGACAAAAACCTGGATGAATTAATTTCCTGTTTTTAAACTCAGCAACTTGTGAAGATCTTAGGAATGAACTTTGCAGCCTTTATAAGACTGAGTTTGTTGTGGCTTCTTGGACTGATGAAGTCTTTTGGATGAAAGAAAAAACATCTCAACAAAAAGAAACCATCCAGAGGACCTCACAGACATAATGATAAGTGAAGTGTTTTAGATGCACTTCAGTGTCAATACATGTACACCAGATTATGTCTGAACATTTTCCCTTTAGTGTTCAGATTAGATGGAATCTGGACTGAGAATATCCTGATGCATGGGCTGGGCGAGGATGTTTGGGCTTTAGTATTGCTCGAGTGTGTCTTTTAGGTCACTGGTAGAGCCATGCGACAAATCAAACTGCTGAAAAAGGGACTGAAAGATGCAATGGTGTGGCCCCTCCTGACATATAGGCTGGATGTTGTCCCACTTCTTATTACCATGATGTCAGAAAGGCTGTTCCGAACATAGGTTGTTTTAAGTTATTTGCACCTTACATAAAGTTATCACCTTAAATTAATTTTTGATTGTGATATACTTTTATTTATAGATCTGTATCTACAGTGCCCATGAAAGTATTTATAATCTGAGTTGTTTTTATGTTTTTATTGATGTCAAATTAATAATGGTCCATGTAAATTAGATTTATGACAGTAATAAAAGCATGACCCATACAAGGGGGTGAATACTTTTTTTTTATAGGCACTGGAAAGATAGAAATGGATCTGTTTTTTTTTTTTTTTCTCATTAAACAAAGTTTGTAATCTCTGAAACAGATACAGAAATTAGTTCCTAGATAAAGTCACAAGGCCAGTTATCAACTGTGATGATGAGGAATGTGTTGACTCCATGTGCTGCGTCACAGGTTTTCTGAGAACATCCATTGAAACAGGTGCGGTGTATTCACTGACTAATGCATAATTATTTATAAATGCATCTACATTTTATAAAGTTGATCAATGAAATATAGAAAATAAGAACTGTGTGGAGATTTATGTTTGCATAAAATTTTTCTATTTTTCATTCTATCCCTGTTTCTGTTTGCTGTTACGACCCCTGAAGAGGAGGAAGAAGAAGCAGTTCAGAGTGTGATGATGAGAATGAGTAGATGTTCGGACGTTTTGGGTAAAACCAATTGACTCTATTAAATTATGCTTAAGCTATCACTTTCAACATCTACATGAATATTGAAATCACCCATTATTATGACTTTATCAGTATTCAATAATAAGTCAGATAAAAAAAAATATTAAATTCAGACAAAAACTGAGAGTAAGTGCCTGGTGGACGATATATAACAACTAATAAAAGTGGCTTTTCTGATTTCCATTTTGGATGAGAAAGACTGAGGGACAGCGATTCAAAAGAATCATAACTAATAATTGGTTTAGCATTAATCAATAACCCTGAAAAAGATGCTCCCTGGGCACCTCCCTGGGGAGGTGCTTCAGGCATGTCCGACTGGGAGGAGACCCCGGGGAAGACCCAGGACACACTGGAGAGACTATGTCTCTCAGTTGGTGGAACGCCTTGGAGTCCCCTTAGAAGAACTAGAAGAGGTGGTTGTGGAAAGAGATGTCTGGACCTCCCTGCTCAAGTTGCTGCCCCCGCGACCCGACTTCAGAACAAGCGGAAGATAATGGATGAATGAATGGGATTTATGAGTCTAACAGCTTCAAAGTAGAAGCTGTTCCTCAGTCTAGTGGTTCTATACTTAATGCTCCGCAACCTCCTTCGGGAGCGAGGCAAAAAGTGTGTGTGCTGGGTGAGTGGGGTCCTTCATGATGCAGGTGGTCCTCTTCTTGCATCTAGAGGTATAGATATCTGTGATGGTGGGGAGACTGACTCCTACAGTCTTCTGTGCAGCCTTCACCACCGCAAAGTTTTTCTTTCTGCAGCTGTGCAGCCTCCATGCCACACGTTGATGTTAGAACACAGGATGCTCTCCACTGCACACCTGTAGAAGGAGGTGATAGCGTCAAGGTGGAGGTGAGATTGCATCAAGGACTGGGTCTGAGCCCATTCTTGTTTGTTCTGATGATGGACCGAATAACAGATGAGGTCAGGCAGGATGCCCTGATGTTTGAAGATGACATTGTAATCTGTGGTGAGAACAGGGAACAGGTGGAGGAGAGTGTAGTAAAGAGGTGAAAAAGAGAGTCCAGGCAGGATGGAGTGGATGGAGAAAAGTTTCAGGAGTGATTTGCGACAAATGGTGCCAGCAAAGGTCAAAGGAAAAGTTTACAAGACAGTGGTGATACCAGCTTTGTTGTATGGTCTGGAGACAGTGGCACTGACAAAAAGACAGAAGAAAGAACTGGAAGTGGAAGAAATGAAAATGTTGAGGTTCTCCTTAGGAGTGACAAGGATGGAGAAGATTAGGAATGAGATCATCGGAAGTACAGCACACGTTGAACAATTGGGAGATCAAGTTAGAGAGACCAGACTGAGATGGTTTGGACATGTCCAGAGGAGGGACAGTGGGTATATTGGTAGAAGGATGTTAGAAATGCAGCTGCCAGGAAAAAGACAAAGAGGAGATATATGGATGCAGTTAGAGAGGACATGGAGGTAGTTGGAGTGAGGACAGAGGATGCAGAGGACAGAGTGAGATGGAGGAGGATGACTCACTGTGGAGACCCCTGAAGAGGAAGAAGAAGGCTAGCAATAGTGTATGGTGACTACTGGTGTATAGCAAAGACCATTGCTTTAGACACCGAGCACCATGATTGGAAAGTGGAATTTCTACATCCCCACGGTCCAACAACAAAAGGTAAACCTAAACATGGCAGGAAGGATATCGGTTTCTGCCAAGTTGAACACATCATAGTAAAACTCATGGGAAATGCATCACCAATCCAGTCAAGAACAAGAGAAACATGCAGCATAGCCACTGAAGTGATGGACTTCATTGAGTGTGGGCATGTCCAATGCGTTGCTTAAATCATAAATACAGATTAGACAAAAAGGAAGTCTTAAGTAAATTTTAGATCTTGTGTTTAGGCTCTATTTCTTCGCTTTATATGTAACAATCATTTTGAACTGCTACACACACACATACACTCAGTTTCTCCCCCATCGCTACAAACAAATGCCACATAAAATTCCTAAAAAATTAACTTATGGTCATGCAAAATGACAGTGTTGAATTATTTGTGACTATTTTCATTAATATGTCCAGTGAGCTACTATAACCCAGATTCAAAAGGATGTGGAAGACTGAAAGAGATGAAGATGAAGGATACAGGAAAGAAGATGACAGGATGACGTGAAGGAGGACAAAATGTAAATTCATCAAATTTTAAATAGTTTGAAACGGAATAATTTAGGTTTATGTCACACTGTCAGTTTTTCACCAACACCGTCAGATGTGTGTTTTAGTGATTTTTGAAAAATAAACAAAATCGTTGGTCATATTATGTAAAATGAATGATCTACATCTTCATATGTATTAATGATACATAAACTGTTTTTAGAATTCTTAAATAAAAAAATATATAATTACAACATATTTCAGGATTTTAGATTATTGCTGAACTGAACAATTTTTTTGGAGTGTCTGACAGAGTTGACACAGAACAGCAACTAAAGTGAAACATGTTTACTTTAATTAAAGTGTTTCTGTTTAGAACCTGTTGCATTTGTTTACAGAGACATACAAATTCATCACAGTGAGTGTGCATTAAAAATTATTTTATGAACTTTTTTATGCCTTATCTTTATATATATATACTTTTTTGTGTGGGAACTTTACATGAGATCAAGTTATTCTGAGATGGTAAGGAAGAAATGATCTTTACAGTCTGAAGAGTT